CCCACCTCTCCAGGCAGCCAAGCAGCTTATGGGATTCCAGGAGAGGTTCCCTGGGTGGATGGGCTTGGTCTGGTGCTGGGCTTCACCCCTGGCTGATACAGGGCAGACTACGTGTGACTGGGGCAGGTAGGGCCGGTCCAGTTACTTTGCAGACCAGGAGAGGTGAGGGACTATGGCAGAAGGCTCATTGCCAAGTGAATGAGAGACCCCAAAGCCACTGTTATAGGGCACCCCAATTCTGTTAAGAGGACAGGGGGAGAGAGGGACACCCCTGAAGCCCCAAAAACCTGCCTGCTCTAAGTGGGTTCTGCCATCCGCCGCAACAAGACAAAACATATAAAGCTTTAATGAAAAGGGACTTAATACAGTGAGTATACAATATGGCACACAAAGAATAGAACTTCTAAATCAAACACCTGAAGTGACCCGTCCCCTCGTGGGCAAAAGTCCACCCAAAAGGGATTGGCCCAAAGCAAGGCCTGAAAGCTGCCACTAGACGAAAGCACCTTCTGGCCGGGACCCATGGAAAAGGGTCAGAAATGGCCAGGCAAATCTGGGAGGAAAAGAGCAACATCAAAATCAATATAAACACGGCCATAGTCACCTCCCTGCAGGTCTCTCCCCCACATCTGCCTTAGCCAGTCCAGGGTCAGGAAACAAGCCTGGTTTCTTCATCACATGCTTGCTGCTCCGTGTGGCTTCTTCAGGTCTCCTGGCTCTCCATCCTGCTTCATTTCCTTCTTTTCTCTCCTTTTTCTCGGTTCAGCTCCACCCTCCTTCTGGGTGGGGCAGGGAACCTGGAACTTCCCCTTTCCCTAGGGACCCCCTGTACACCACTACTTTGGGCCTTCCTTCCAACCCCCACGCCCATGTCCCTTCTGTTCTTAGCAGGTATTCAAGATATGTGTGTAGAATTGAATTAGGACTTGCTGTGTAAGTAGGAACAAGCTGGGCCACTGCCTGTGCTCAGGCCTGCCGCAAGAGACAGGTGCTGAGGAGAAAGCCAGGCTGTGAGGAGCCTCCCAACCCTGGCTCATAGGGAAGGCTTTGAGGAAGTTTGGCTCTGAAGAAAACACAAACACTTGGGGTATTATGCATATGGGGGGCAGGAGCAGGGAACCATGGCGACCATCTCCTGACTCAGCGATGTCATAGTCATGCTCCATGGAATTCCAGTGACAAGGACGGCGACCATAGGCTTGAGTGTCAGGCCCAGTGCCTCGGTCAGATGGAAGGAGTAGCTTCCCCGGGAGCGGAGATGGAAGAAACACTTTCTCCCAAGACAGCACACAAACCTTTCATCATTCGAAGTATGTACCCAGACGTGGAAGGCTGCGGGCAGGGCTATTGGGGCCCATGAGGAAACAGGTCTGAGGGTGGTGTCTGCTCTCCTGTTGAGAGGGCTCCTCTGGCCACAGACCCTGCTGGGGAGTGCCTGGTGAGTTCTGAGGCGCCCCTCATCCTCCTCATCTCGGTGCCAGCAGACTGCCAAGTGCCGCAGCCCAGAGTGACTGGGGTACCAGGCAGTGATAGCAGGATCGGCCTGGAGGCTCTTGTCCTGCATGAGACCCCACCAGACACCTGTGACCTAGAGATTGCCCGAGCACATTGCGGGGCAAGGGGAGCCCGGTGGAGGGGAGGTATAGTCAGATCACACTGGGGACCCACTGCTCTCTGGGAAAGAAGGACAGGGAGCAGCCTGCGCAGGTCAGGCCAAGAACTTACCTTGAAGGAGATGGCGCCATTGGCCATCTCCTTGAAGGAGATGGCGCCATTGGCCTGAGCAGGAGACCTGCCAGCCCTGAGATCCCTGAAAGGTAAGGGGCTGGGTGGTGTGCACGATGGTGACCCTAAGGCTCAGTGGTTGGCTGAGATGGAAGAGACAGCCCAGTGGGCAGGGGGAGCAGGGGGAGCTTCCTGGGAGTGGCAGGAAACCACAGAAGGTAAGCAAGCACCGGGCTAACTAAATGGGGAGGGTTTGAGCCCAGGCGGCCCTAGGGTCTCTGTATTCCTGAGTCTGTAAATTGGGGGGCTCAGAGGGCAACTTGATACCATCAGCTCTTGTCAGTTAGGTCTTGACCATGGAAGCTTGGCCCAGTCAGCTGCAGGGGCCAAGGCCTGCCCAGGAGGCTCAGAGCAGCTGCAGAAAGCAGGGTGGTGTGGGCAGGGGCGGCAGTTGCCTCAGGGCACACCTCAAACTCAAACTCAGCCAGAAGCTCGTTTCTGGAAAGCCATTTGTAAAACTCTTGTTTGCTGGGTCTCATTTCAAATTCTGGGATTACCAATAGCTGGCTGCTGCACCTTCCAAAGCTCTTCCGGAAGGGAGCCTCCTCTGGAAATGACTTCTCTTCCATCCTTTTCTCCAATTTTCAGCCCTTAAAGCAGCCTCCCAGTCCTCACCGTTCCTTTTCCTACCATTCTTTCCAGGGGGCTCCCCGTACTCCGGGAAGGGCCGCCCTGTTTCCGAACAGGGCTGACACCGGCCAGGTGACATTTTTTCCTTGGAGACGGGACTGTGGGATATCAGCACCCCTGGGCCCTCCTACCAAATTCCAGCAGACTCCCAGCGAAGGGTCAACCGAAGTCCCCACCCATTTCCACACCCCCTCAGAAGTGACACGGCCCCCTCTGGGCACTTAGAAAACAATTGCCCCCCCCCCACTGGCTCTAAGCGGTGGGCAGCGTGAAGTCAAAGGCCAAACCAAAGCGCAGCCGTTCATTCATTGCCAAGAACTTTTATTCTTCACTGGGGGGAGAGTCAGGCCGGCAGAAGGATCGCAGGCCTGAGCGGAGGTGGTGAGGAGGGCACTCTGCCCACAAAACCACAAGTGCTCACGATTTTTCGGCTTCCGCCAAACTGCCGTTTCCTCCTCTAGCTCTCCTAGCTCGCCAGTTCGGCCACTGCGTGCACCAGACCTTCGAGCCACTAGTGGAGAGAGCCTAGTCGAGCGCGATCCGGGAGTCGAGTCGGGTCTCTTTCGGGAAGGGCAGCGAGGTCCCAGGGCCGAGAACCCGAAGTCGGCCCGAGCGAGCAGCTCCTTCCGCCGGGCAGCGGGGAGCGAGCGGCGGTCAGGCCCCAGCCCCCGAGCCGCGGC